AGTGTTTTCTTTTCCCCAATTCAGGTCCGATTATTTACCGTATGAAATTGTTACAAGACCTTTTCGGCAACAAGAAGAATATAGACCAAAGTCAGGGAAGATTGACCTGGGAACCATTTACCAGAGAGATTACAATCCTCATAAAGTAGGACCAGTGACATTAGCAAGGCCTCGAGAGAGGAAACATACTTCAGATGCCAAAGTGGATACTGTCCCAACCTACCGGGGTAATAATACAGAAAGGGAAATAACCCAGATGAAGGTAGCATTGGAATTTCCTATGTTGGAAACTGGATTTGTTGGTTTGGGACAGAGAGTAAAACATACTAGGAAGCAGGTGATGATGCCCTAAAACATTCAGCACTCCTGTTGTTGAGGGGACACCTATTGCTTCTAAGCTAAAAGCCCTCTCTGAAGTTTGGTCAGCTACAAGGAAATTCCAACATGCACCTGGGTTGGGCTATCCAGGCAAAATTGGGTGGAAATTAAGGTGCAGTGTATTTTTCAGGTAGTTTTAATTCATGTCACTTATTTTTCCACAGAGTAGGTCAAAAATGGAGTTCAGGCTTCTGCTTGTGTACAGTATAGCTTACATATACATCATCCCAGTAATGATCTGTCTTGACACAAATTATTCTATTACAATGGTCAGTGGAAGATACTGTATTAAAGCATGTATAAGGATATTTCTGTATAGTTTCTGTTGAGCAAAGAGTCAAAATAGGGCATCAGGTACAATTTTGGGGGTCTGTTTTTTATCACTATAAATCACACTATAATAGTGTGATTCGTCAGATCACAGACATGCAGATAAAATTATCATTTTCACTTACATCCATTTTCTTTGTTTTGCAAGATTTAATACCAAAAGACTTTCTCTTCATTTTAAAGGACTAGTTTTAGGTAATAACACCCATGTGGTGGAATTTTGGTTTTGCCTTACAGATCACTACAGGTTATGGAAAAGTCAAAGAACAGAACCCTGTAAGGTGGAGCGTGACTATGAGCCACCTTCAGAGAGGTTTGGAAATCCTTCCACGTTTCAAGATGACTACATCCCCAAGCAGCCCAACCCCCCTGCAAGCTGCAAACCCTGTGACACCAAGCTGCCAGAGGGGCCTTTTGATGGCAACACCATCCATCGCACGGCCTACGTCGCCCATGAGTTGGAGCCCTTGTTCGTCAGGCCAAGGGAAGAGTACAAGCCAAGTGACCAACCCTTTGAAGATCTCACAACCCACCAGAGAGATTTTAAAGGGACGCCTGGGGAACAAGCAAAAAGCTGCAAGCCTGAAGGTCAAAAACATGGATCTGATGATCCTTTTAAAGGAACCACTGAATTCCAGGATCGCTATCAGCCGTATTCGGTCACCGCGCCTGAGTTCCACAAACCAAGAGAGTACGTTCCACCCACAGACAAGATGGACCTCAAGTCCTCAAACCGTCTAGATTACATTAAACACAAGGTTGCTCCTAGAGCCCTCATGAAACCAGCTCCTGGAAGAAAAACCACTGGCCCTTTTCAAGGGAAGACTACTACAAAAGAAGACTATCAGCCTTGGAGAGTTCCTCCACGAGGGCTTATTAAGAAAGAAGAGGAAATTCAAAAGCCCACAGGAAGATTTGCTAGTTTAACTACATTCAGGTCCCATTACGTACCTCATCAGGCCAATCCGCCTCAAAGTTTCAAACCTGTAGAGGTTGTACCTACTGGAGTTCCTTTTAAAGATGAAACTTTGTACCGCACTGAATATACACCAAAGAAGCCAGAGGTCTGCCCAGGACTCAATCCAGATGCTGTGGGTTATGTCTATGTCAACACAGATTCTGAGGGTCACAGATTCTACCGCCGGCTGTCCCCAGAACCATCCGGCGCAGACAGCAGTCCTGTTCCAGAGGAAGTACCTGCTGTGTCATAACACTTACATGCAGTATTGCAAGCACCTTAGTTATATAATGGGAAACCAGCTTGTTCATTTTCTCTTTAACACTGAAAGCAAGTTAAATAAATTATTTAACCTGCTTTCAGTGTTATTTATTTAAATAAATTTTGCTTTTAGGAGTTTGAAGAAAACCAAAGCCAAACCAAAGTTCTCGTTATGAGACTAATAAAGATTTGCCAAATGCTGAAGGAGCACTACTCCCTACATGGCATCTGTGCTTTTTCTGATTGTGTATTCTAGTTTTCTTGACTCCCCAGATTTCATCACGCTCCATCTCAAGCATCTTTATAACATACTTAGTTATTTGATATTTTCTGCAATCAAATTATTGTATTTGTGAATTAACAAGTGCCTTTTGCTGATAAAATACTTTACACAGTAAGCAAATAATGCTATTTAAAATAATCAAACAAATCAGTCATAATCTCAGTAATCTGTAAGATTTGCATGCTATGACACCTAGGCATTTCTAAAAACCTGTTTTGAGCTGTAGTCATCACTGCTTCAACTTCATTCAGATCTGGAGTATAAAGGTCCCACTGTAATTTCTAGTAGCAATTAACAGGTGGTAACCTCACTCTTTTTCTGTTCATGTAGTTGAAACCACTCAGCACCAAAAGTATGTCATTAGACTCTGTTTCTTAATTTCCCTGATCATGCTCTTTCAGCCTTAATTCCAAAGGAAACAAAACTGATGCACCTTGGACACACTGACACACTTAGTGCCTGTCTGAATCATCTTTAAACCCAGTGTGCAAATTCAGTCAAACCTCATTATGAGACTGCATATATTTACAGAAAAGAGAGTAAACTCAGGTAAAAAATGAAATACCAGCTGAGATGCTGAAATCTGTAGGCAGCCTGGCTTCAGTCTGTCTGCTTTTCAAAGAATTGCTTGTTCCAAATACACAGACACCATTTTTTACAGAAATGTTATATGAAATTGCTTCTGTATGAAATATTTAGTATTTTCTCTATGTATCTTTAGCTGAGTTTGAAAAATCCAGATGAATCAATTTTAGTTTTATTACATTCAGGATTTAAGCAAGTCCCAATTAATAGTTCTGTAATTAACTGTATTGTCATGCTCTACCACACTACTCCAGTATGATTTTTTTTCTCAGTATTGCATATCTTGTACTCATTGGTGTAGAGCAGTATTTGGGTTCTGCAGAATCATGTGGCTGTACTTCATAAACAAAGTCTCTTATTAAAGGGCTAAGATCAATGATGGCAATATTTTTAAAGCAGGAACTTGGTCATATGAAAGCAACAAAGCTGAACTGAGCAAATCATCTGTGCACCAAAGCATTTCATGAGAGGCATCCAGACAATATTAGAGCATCAGTCACTTTTACAGAACTTTTGTCTTTGTACTGTGATTTTGTAGTATCACTTACTCTGTTAATGACATGGCAAATCAGTTTTACTTTTCTGTTTGAAAATTATTCACCTCCCTCATTGTGATTGTGAATGAACAAGGACAATGAAAACCTGCGAGATTCTAAAAGCAGGACAGGAAAAAGTCCAACTGACTGTCATCTTTCTGTACCACAAAAGAAAAAATACACTCTATTGAGTCATTCTCTGTCACGCCACAACTGAGGAAACAAAGCCAAAACTTCTGAGGAAACAAAGCCAAAACTTTGCACAGTCACACCTACTCAGGTCCACATGCTTTACACAGTCCTGGTACCTCTGGAGCCATTTTCAGAAGCTCCCAATGCCCTCCAGCTCTCCTGTCTAGGGAGGGAGAAATGCAGTCTGAATCCATGAAATTACATGTGCCTGCATATTCTGCTCAAAATGGCTCTTCTGCTAGGCCTGTGAGGGAGCCCAGATGCTTTTTTAAATTTTCACAGCTGTTTTTTCAGTTCTGAAGTCACTTCCCTCCCTTAAGTTATGGAAAGTCATTTGCTGCCACCTACCAGCACGGTACAAGCATTTTGAGAGGAAGGGAAGTGGAGGGCATACTCAGATACATTTAACAGTTCCTCTGCAGATGTGTTTCAAGGCTTTTTTAGGGTGGAGGGGCATATTTCCTTTCATTTTGTCCATAATGTTTTCCCCTAAGTTTAATAGTGAAAGAGAGAAGCCTTTATTACTTTACAATTGAAAAAGCCCCAACATGCTGATTGTGCTTCCAGGAAAAGCATCAAATGATATTATAAAACTTCAGACACTATTCAATACCTGACGTCAACCTTTTCATTAACAACAAATTGCTGAAATGCAGACCAAGTGAAGAGACGGCTGGAAAACTAATATTTTTCCAAAATAACAGCTGTTAAAAAAGCATTTTATGATGTCATGCTAAACCAAGATGTAAAAGCAGAAAAACTATTCATGGATTCAGCTGCTATTCTGAGTGTGCTTTCTGTGTGCTCTGCCATCCAGCAGCAGGCTCCACAGCACTGCTGTACAGAGCCTTTGCTTTTTTGGAGACTGCACAAATGGAATTCAAAAGGAAAGTTAAACCTTTGCCAATATTGTTATCTAGGATAACTCTGAAACATCACCATTAAATTGCTATGCATTTATTTTCTATTTAATAAAATTTTCCTTAAAGCTTTTATTGTTCATACTATTTCTTAGACTATTCTTTCTAAGGACTACACATATTGGATATTCTGAAACAATTTCTTTTTCATGGAGGTATTCCCATCACTCACTAAATACAAAACATGGAGCTGTTCTGTTAGATCTAAATGAACTCTGCTTGGTGAAGGCCCAGAAAAGAAACACATTTTTATTCCACCTTTTAAAGAATCCTGATTTCAGTGAATCAGGCATTTGAATCTTTGCAAATTATCTTCCCACTTTTTCAGTCAGGCTATTAAAAGTGCAAAGGTTACTTTGCACTCTTAATAGCAGTGCAAAGCAGACTGCAGAGAAAATTGACAATATGTCTGATAGACTGTTAAAAATAAGAACTAATCCAAGGCTTTGAAAAGACCTCAGAATTATGGACAAAGTAATTTGAAAAAATAACTAAGAACAAAAGCACAGTTACCATGCAAATCATGGTAATAAACAATCTCAGGGTGATCACAGTGGTGAATAATCAAACTATACTTTATTTCAGAAAAATCAAAACTACGTTCAGGAAGATAAAATCTTCAGGTACTGGAGAAGCAATAAAATAATCTACAGAGGAACGTCATGCCCATTGCAATCACAAACATTTACAGCACTGCTTTGGTATAGCATGCATACTTAACCAAAGTTAAAGCAACAAAAAAATGCTGTGTGTTAACATTCGAAAACTTTAAATATAAAGGGAAAACATGAATAAGAAATTTTGGTAATAAGAAAAAATATATGTCCAAAAATCTTTATTAAACACTGTACAAAAAAAATATTGCACTTTTAAATCAGACAATAAATATCTACAAAAGTATCTTACAAATGTTTAATTTAAAAAACTGCTTAAACAATCAAGACCCATTGCTGATGAAAAAGGTAATGATCAGGAATATCCTCTCCTTGCAGTCAGCCTTGGACACGATAGTCCACCCTAAACATTTTCTATACAGTAGTGCTACCCTAATTCTCAGTGATGCAAACCCTCTGTGCAGGATGCTGTGTCTGAGCTGCCCCCACAGCACTCCCAGCCCTCTGTCTGTCACACAGGTCAGGGATGGAACAAGAGCCAATCAAAGTGAGCATTCAGGCCTCCAAAATGAGCAGTAGTTTGGATACTACAAAAGGAAAAATCATCTATTTTCTGCCTCCTGTGGGGTCCTCTCTGCTTAAAGCCGTAGTCAGACCATCTGCAGTATGGAAGATAATTTACCCAGCAATATTATGGTAAGAATTTATCAACTTGCAAATGACTCAGATGGTTAATGGCCATGATGGAAAAACCATCTTGATGGAAAAATGTTTAACATATATTTCTTGCACTTGTCTATCTTCACAATTGATAATTCTTCCTTGGACATTTTCCCCCATTAATGGAGAAAAATAGAATGCTTACACAAAGACAAGGAATCTGACAGCTATTTTGGCCAGTTACTGGCTCCTCATTTGACTTGATGTGCAAGAGAACAGTGCTCACAAGTGTTTGTTCACAGCTCTGACAAGGAAGCTTCTGTCTCATTTAATATCAGTACAAAAGTATAACCATGCCAGAACTCTGATTGTACTTCAGAGACTGGAATTAGAATTGAAACAATAAAAAATGACACCTCATTTATTCAAAAGAGATCCATTGCTGCTTTGAAAATTGTATTAGGATTTATAGTTTCTGCATACACAGAAGTACAAGCAGGAAAAATTCAATGTACTTCTGTGTATCCATCTGAGAGCAAGTATCCGTAAAGCACATTCTGTGAGATCAACCCTTAAGCTCAAGCTGTTTATGAAAATGAAGCTGCTGCCAAAATTTTACAGCTACAAGCCACAGCTTCTGTAAATTTAAAAAATGGTGTTAAATATGATGAAAAAAAACCCCAAACCAAAATCCTGGGAATCAATAGTTGCTGCATTTCCAGAAGTTTTTGAAGTATTTTTGTGACTCTTCCTCATAAGTTAAGGACAGTAACCAGTATTTGTTGCTTTTAGGTAATGTTTTTTCACATATAAAATTATAAAAGATAGCCTGCAAAATTTTACAGATGCTATGCCATAATATTATCTTGCTAATCCATATGTGTTTAAGACATTAGAAGTTCCATTGCAAAGAATGAAAAATGAAAGCTCCCAGAAACAACACCTTATCCAGCACATCAATCCACAATGCTGTGTTTTCACTAGCCCCACATTGCCATTTAAGTGTTACAACTCATGTCTCATTTTACAAGAATATACTTCAGGCAGGTTAGTTTAAAGAACATTTCTTCTCATCTCTTCACTGCAGCATCATGAACTTGCCATAGAGGACTTACATTTCTTGGCATGACTGACAACACCTTTGTTTGTAGGTGTCTATCAAGCATAACTTTAGTTGCTTTACAAATGTACAGTAGTGAGTTGCATCCTTGCATTCGCCTTCTGAAAAATATATTTAAACATTACAAGGCTTTATAACAAGCAAAAGAGAAATAGCAGAGCTTGCCATTGTAATTGTAAACAACTGATGGATTCCTGCTAGATTTGTAATTTTTTTAGTGTGCATTTCTGGCAGCAGTGGATTCAAAGCTAAGCAAGGTCACAAGTAAGAGGTGTGATCTCACTGCACTCATTTGCTCATTGTCTGTTTCAGAACACAACCCCATCTTGGAGGCATTAACAGCTCGCTCAGGGACTTTTGAGTCACAACTGGCACAGTCTTGTAGGGAAGTTTGCAAAAAACTTCCTATATATCCTGTTTCTAAAAGTGCTTTTCAGGCTTTAATATCAAACTGGCCTACTTAGAGAAAAGAAACCCCAGGATTACGAAGTGCTCCTTGGAGAGGATAGTTTTACCTTTGATGTACAATCAAATGCTTGTAGAATCAATAGTGTACAACTGTGAGTCATTTTCTAATATAACTGCTACAAACTATTACTATGCTCATATTTAAATAAACATTTACATACTGCCACAGGATGTGACACTGCAGTGTTGCCAGGTCGCTGGTCTCTTCCTCCCTCTGCACAAGTGCTCAGCCACGGGTTTGTTGCTCTGCCTGTGCACGCAGGACACTGGTCTGGACTGGAAGCCAGTCCCACAGCCCACACTGCAGGGCCTCCAGGGGCCTGGCCGCCAGTACACATCACACCCCTCTGAAGAACAGTTCCTTCTGGCAGGAGGGCTGTGCAGGGGAATAAATGGCACTGAAATGTTTGCTTTTGTGCTAAACCCTTACTCACACAACAACAGAACTGAACAGCCCCCCCACCCCTGCTCACAGCACAGCCAACTAGACCAAGATCTCAAGATTGTCTCTGTGGTTTGAATATCTCCAAAAATGGAGATGCCACAACTTTCTGCTCCATTTTTTCTTATATTTAAGTTGAATTCCCTTTATTTAATTTTGTGCTCACTCATCACACCTTCTCACTAATGAGAAAACATGAGTTTTTTCAAACCAGTTTCTTAATTTTGGAATAGGAAAAGGTATTTTATCTTTAAGGAAACTTAACTGGCCTTTGAACACGCCATACTGGATGCTGTATGTTCTTCAGGCATAACCCCTCCTGGGTTCCTGAATTCATCTACTGTCCACAAAGGGAAGACTATCTCTACCTCCTTTCCTTTGTCTGACACAGCAGAAATTGCCTACTTGTCCTGCAGTGACAATCCTGTACCTTCAATTTGATCATCTAAAGAATCTAACTCGTAACTTCTCCCCACTGTTTACCTCTTTCTTTCATCACAAGAAGAGTTTGGCACTGAGGATCCGTTCTGGAGCTGACATTTGAACCCACGGTGCTGTGAGCCTGCAGGCCGGCCAGCACAGCGGCCAGAGCACTGCCAGTGGAGAGAAAAGGGTGAGGGCAGGGAAAAAGAAACAGCAGAGTTAGTAACAACAGAATTATCCTCCTGGAGCTACCCAGCTACACAGCCCAGACATGGCTTTTTGCATCTTGCCTTCTTCAGCCCTGCCACAGCTCAGTTTGGATAAGGCCTGCATATTTTTGGTTCTCTCTGTGTAATTTTGCCAAGACTATCCTGCCTGCTCCTACAGCTAAATCCATTGTCTTCTCTCATCCTGCCACATCCCTACTGCTGCAGAATTCTTTCTGTAGCTCTGCCCATTACAAACTTGCCTTGCTAAAACCTGTATTGGGAATGCAGCAACAGCAATTCTAATTCATTACTTTGCACATTGAACAGTAAATACAAATCTTATCAAGATAAACACAAGTTTGCTGCATGAAGGAAGAAACAGAAAAAGTAGGAAAACAGACTTCTGTGCATTCTGTAAGTTGAACTTCACCAAGTACAAGTACATTAGTACACAAGCTAGGCAAATTGTGTACTAATATGACTGCAATAAAAGCAATAAGCTAGCTTGGAAAATGGAATACACCATAATGGCTTAGCTTATAAAATACACTGCAGCTAATACTCTGGTTTCATGTCATGCTATCAACAAATAAAGTTGCTCAGAGAGCATAGAATGAAAAAACAAGATTTCTAATTGTCTGATCTGAAAGGTAATTCCAGCCACAGAGCTCCTGCCTTGTGCAAGAGGGCAGATGTTGGGGCACAAGAGGACAGATGTTGGGGCAGTTAATCAGACAATGGCACTGTCCCACTTCCATAAAACAAGGAGGCTGCAGACGAACGCTGTCACTTACCTGTGTGGTGGCCTGTGGTGGCCCTGGGGGACAGGGGTGCTCTGGGCAGGGTGTCCTGGCTGCAGGCTGGTCCCTGCCTGGGCAGGCCCCTGGCAGCAGGGCCAGGACGCTGCCATTGGCCATGGCCTGGTGACAGGAGAGCTGTCGGTGCCGAAATCCAGAGCCACAGGATGCAGAGCACTCGGACCAGGGCCCAGCTACCCACCTGTGGCATGCACAGAATACACATTTACAGCAATTATTGCTGCCCTGCTGGTAGCTGGCAGCAACTGTTTGCAAAGAAAATGGAAAAGAACCTGTCCTTGCAAGTTTTAGGTGTGGCAATGGTTAGAATCAGCTTCACTTGAGCAAGGTCCTCTTAATATGGTTAACTCATGACAGCATATTTGCTACAAACAATGTTTGCTACCGGAATCTGTTACCAGGTGAGCCCTACAGACCCTGCTGGATGTGACATGCCAGGAGGAAGGAGAGTGTACTTTTCCATGACTTATAAAATGGATGGTAACAATTTAGTTGGCACTAAAGTGACAGCTGCCGTAACTCATCCGAATTTATTACATTGAGATCTCACCAGACAATGAATCAAGCAGAACATGTTATTTATTGATTAGAAGTTGCAAATATTTAGTCAGTCTTGGGAGCTAGGAACAATACCGGGGAGGCAGCAGGTGGTAATACAATCAAATTGACTCGCTCTTTGCATAAATCCAGGCTAGAAATATAAAATGGACTTTATGTCTACCACAGCAGTGATAACAGGAAAAAAATTCTATTTTCTTCAGCAATTATTTCATTCTCCTACGCTCAAATAGCATTCAAGGAAGATTAATCTTTTACAGTCTGCACCCTTGTCTTTTTCTCCCTTTTAAAGCTCAAGTACTTTTGCAAACATTTGGTGCGGGGCATGCACAGCAAAGCACAAGTTAAGTAGATACTCAAGGCCTTATATTTGCTTAACTCTAGCTCTCCACTGTGACAGAGAGAAGTGACTAAACACATGCAAAACTCTTCGACTAATTAAGGTCATATATCTAAACATCTAAAGGCTTTATAATTCTATGGATGCTTTCTAAACAGCTGCCTTGAGATGAGAAGATTGTGCAGAAATCAGTAAGTGGGAAAATGGAACCGAAATTTTTCACTTCCCTCCCAGGTCAGCAATCACAGGGAAGGAAAGAGGCTAAAGGCACCAAGAAACACACACAGGGCTATTTTCCAGGCATCTGGGATGCTCTTCCTGTATAGAAAGCATGGAATATTCCATAAAAGAAAACCAATTAATATTTCAGTATACAAGTATGGCTGGAGGCAGAGTTAATTATGTTAGTATACACACAATTGCCTTTCATTGGTGATTACATAAAGGCAAATTAAAAGCAGAACAAATCTAAGCATATAAAAAGACAACTCAGTTCCCAATCTCTCAGCTATATGAAAGAACCAGTTTGTTTATGTTGTGAATACTCCAAGGCCAGTGATAATCAGATTATTTAGTCATGCCCTGCAAACCCCTGAAAGGCATGACCTTGCTCAGAGGAGCCCCAGGACCTCTTGCACCCTCCTGTCATCTGCTCCAAATGCTGGAGCTTCAGAGAGAAATCTGCAACTGAAGCTGAGTTTCAAACCATTGGTTTGATTTCAGTATTTTTCTACTGGCAAAATGTTAGCTTTCTCTGGGCTGGCTGGAGTTCAGTATCACAATTTAAGATAATCTGTTTTTTGGCTGCTAATAATGAAACATAAACAACTTCTCCTGATACATATCTGTGGCTAGGTTTTCTGCATTTAGAACAGAATTCAGAACATACTGGCAAGATGCACTCTCACAATGTCAGCTAAGGTCTTAACACTTCCCTGCCAACAATTTCCAGTGAGGAACAACTCTAAAGTGTGTTTAGAGTTTTGCTGATGATAATGGCCAATTCTTTAAAGCAACAAAAAGCACTTATTTTGAGGATCCTGTGGGGTTTCCTGTTGAAATCCTGGAGAAACACCCTGTTGAGCTGGAATGCTCACTGCAATTCAGATTGTCTAGAGGTGTTGTTTTGGCCTTTGGAATCAGATGTTGTGATACACCTGTTTGTGACATGAATATTTTCAGCCCCATGATCCCCAGCTGATCCAGGGAGCAAACTGGCAGGGAAGGACAGTCAAGGAGCACTGTGGTGAGGGCAATAGAGAGAAATGAGGCATTCCTCAGAAAACATCTTGCTGAGAGCTCTGCTGGCACAAAGCAGAGCAGGTGAGCACAGAGTTACCCTGGCCACCCTAAACACAACAAGTTTTCCCTCTGGGGAGGCACAAATTCCACAAAACTGCACATCCCAGTGTCTCAGAGAGATCTCCAGCTTAGCTTTTGAGGTGTGGTGTGGTAACAGCAAGACTTGCTGCAGCAGCATGGAGACACTCAGCTCTTATTTATTCAGCTGAATCAAGCATTTCCCTACTTGCTTGTGATCCATTTCCACATCTCTCCTGCTTTAGGGTTCGTGGTGAAGTAAACCCCACATTCCACACTCAGAGCACAAACACAGAAACTATTTCAGGAGGTGGTGAGTGCATTTTCATACACCAAGAGCTGATGGAAATAGAGCAGAAGGGAGTTTACCTGGGAGGGCAGTCCTCTCTGTTGCAGGGCTGGTAAACAATTCCTGGCTTCTGCAGCTCTCTGCATTGGGACTCATTTACTCTCTGTTTCTCTGTGTTCAAGCACTGCAGGCTCCTGGAGCGGGTTCCTGAATGCCCACAGGTGGCAGAGCAGGGACTCCACTCAGCATAGTCCCAGGTGAAACCTAAGAAATACAATTGGAAGCAGTGTGAGAGAGGCACTGTACGTTGGAACTGTGTGTCACACTTTGATTGATTTGGCAGCACACTCTGTAGGCTGGATAGACACCACATCCTCTGTAGAAAAGCAAATATTTCAGCACTGTGAAAAGGGACCATGGGCCAAAGTAGAATTTAGTTCTGCTCAGCTTCCCCTCCAGGTCAGCCCTTACCTATGAAGCCCTCTAGAAGGCAAATGAGATCAGCACATGAAGGGCAGAGCCTGGCTCACAGTAGGAACTGATGAGCTTTCTTTAAAACTTTCATAAAATTTTTATACAATGAGCATTAAAAAGAGGAAATTGTAAATCATGCTCTCTAGGTTTCCTGCTGTTCCACAGCAAGTTTGTCCTGAACAAAACTCATCTTACTCCAGACACCTCACATAATTTTAGGATTTAAGAAAATCCTGTACTAAACTACAGAGAAGTATTTAATGTAAAAATAATTTGCCACTGAGGCATCTGGCAAGATGAAAAAGGAATTTGTTCTAAAGAGCGTTTTATATTAAAAACCGATCACCTCTAACAATTACTACCTTTATATTTAGTCAAAATTCCACACTTACCCCTTCCTCCACAATTTTTTTTGACACTTGGTAAAAGATGAAGTACTATGCAATGTTGACAGATTTTTATGTGATCACAGAAGGAGTCAGGTTTTTCTATAATAACCAAGAATAATTGATAGCTACCAGCTGTGTCCACAGACTCACTCTTGCAGCACATAATGAATTCTTTAACTTATTGTTTTTCAATGTTTCCTTATTACTTCTGGATTTCTTAAAATAATACAAAAGGGCCTTTTTCAAAGTAGAAATAGTTAAATTTACTGACTGCAGCTATGATGGAGAGACTGTATTGTTTGTTTAACTAGGATGACACTGCTCAGAAGTGCCCTCAAAATGCCTACTGTGCAAAAACCACTAAGGGGGTTTTAGAGCCTCACAAATGCATGGGTATGGCAGTGATGAAACATTTACTTAAGTGTCTTTCACAGGTAAAGCTCAGAACTAGAAAATGGAATTACCCCCAAAATACTGCCCAGCCTGACTGGAGAGGGGATTGGGAACCACAGGGCAGTCCAGCTGAGGACTGCAGGCGGACAGTTCAATAACTGGGAGAAACTCCAACTGCAATGAGATCTAGATTAGATCTAGGGCTGGACCTAGTTTTGGAAAAGTTCTATTAGGGTGTTTTCTGATTTACATTTGATTTTTTAAAGTAAATGTTTGTAGATACATCTCAGTAAGATTCCTTTGCAAATGTAACTTCCTTCATAACCTCAGGCACTCCAGAGCCCTCCTCACTCTTGAACAGTCACCAAAACATCCTCATGGAGAGCCCAGGGGATCTAATCCTACTGCTTGAGTCCCTTGCAGAACAGTCATAAGCCAAATCAAACTGATATGTGAAGAGATAAAACATAGAAAAGCTTACAGCAGATTATGCTGGGGAACCCTACAAGACATTCTTGAGAATTTCACATGGAAATCTATGAGTGGGCAGTGTGCTCTAGTGTACTGATGTGATTAAGGGTGTCTGCAATAAGATCACTACCATATTAATTGTGATGGTCCTGGAATATGACAGTTACATTAAAATTATTTTTATTATAAGGAAGATACTTCCAAAGTTGACCTTTAAGTCAGTTTTGTTTCAGTTTGGTGAGCTACCATGGGGAATTGTTTTGAAGGGGAGGTTGATAAAACCTTGCTGATTTCAAGTTGTTTAAGCAGAAAGACACATTCTCTCAGCTTCTCAGATACACAGGCAAGCAGAAAGAACCCCCACAGGATATTTGGATACACATTAATTACCATATCTAACTCTGAGTATGGCATTGTCTACTGACTTAAATAACACCATACATGAAGGTGAATTACTTGCAATGCAGAAAAGAAAGTTAGTTATCAGGAAAGTCTTTACAGAGCAAAAGAAGACATTTTAAAATTCAAGAATTTGTCATATAATTGTCAACAAACCTTCCTTCTTGACATTTACCCAAACTGACATTGGTTTTACACTAGCTGAGGTCCGACATTGGAATTGTCCAGCAAATTGACCAGAGTTGGTGTTCACCTCTAGGATACGACCCCCAACCAGGGTTCTGTATTCCAGGGTCTGAACTTCCTCAACTGGGATGTCTCCAAAGAGCCACTGGACTGTATTCCTGTGACTGGGCAGCACTGGGCAACCTAAAAATCAACAGCATTTTAGCAGGCTTTTCTCAGCACATTGAAACGTTTGTGAACAAGTATGTACAAGTGTGTGATTCTGCATAAAGGACATTACCATCCTAAATAAAAACAAGAATATGCATAAATTCACTAAAGTCCAAGTTAGGGCCTAAAATCCTGCCTGGCCCTTGAGGGGTAGGAGCTCTGTAAGCTGATGTGTACTTAGCACACTTCTCCATCATTTCCCTTTCAGTAAGTTCTTATAAACTTATCTTCTATAGGAACAAAGTGAAAGGGGGTAAGCAATGATTTGAATGGAACAAAGATTTCATCCTAGACACTACAATATGCAAATAGGTCTGCAATTAAAGACCTTCTATCTGTTTGGGAAAGGAGTCATAAATACATTAAATGAAATTGCTGCATTTTCACTCCACATGCAGAGGCAGGGATGGAAACAAAGGCATTCATTTATACAGGAAAAAAACCCCACAAACAGAGCCCAGCTGAATCACTTCCATTTTTTCAAATAAAGCTCAAAGAGTAATTGCATGGGTTTAGAGTCAAGGTGATTCACCTCAGAATTGCACTCGCTTTTTTCCATGGGGGGGCCTCTATTTTAATAAAATAAATAATATTAATTAATAAAATAAATAATATGAAAAAGCAGAAAAGACAACACACCTATCCTTAGTGGATCACCAGGTGCCACAGTGACATTTGTACCAATCCCAGATGCCATCAGGACACGCTTCCTTCTGCTTCCCTTCAATAACTGAGTGTTATTCCCTGCAAGTCTTTGTTCTGTAACACAGTGCATAAAGATCTCTTCTGAGCAAGAATTAAATCATGATGCCAAAAAACATTTCATATCCAAATATCCAGCATGGTAGACATGAAGCAGAAAGTTAACAGCAGTTCAGAATTCTTTAGGATCAACTTCATTTATGCAGTTAAATTATCAATCTCATAAACTACATGTGTACAGGGAAATAGAAATTATTTATGTTAGTGCAAGTTTCTGAATAATTCAATAAATCAATACATTTATTGAATTTGTTAGAAAAACAAGCCTGTAAGAGTATAAAAACAAGACTTACAGGATGTATTTCCTGTTGATCATGACAACATTATTTATTATTTCATTGCATGCAAAAATTGTAAGAAAAAGAATTTTCTCAGTGGAATCTGGCCAATTCCTCTGTTCCATTAGGTAGAATTATAACAAAATGTTATCATAGAAAAAAGAACATCTTTTAAAATCTCATTATGCATGGAGATAGCAAGATGAATGCAGAGACAAATGCCCATCACTATAGCAACTCCTCCTTTTCCTCATATGCTGAAAGAATAACTGCCAAAAATGTGGGCAATCTGTCAGTAACACACAGTTCTTACCACTTAGTCAACATTTCTGTTTTAATGAACGTACATAACATCTATGTCTCTCCTTTCAGAAGGGTTTAAATCTTTTGCTATATTCTAAATTCTCTGGGTCATTTTACATTGGCTCAACACTTTTCCTCAGTGTGTGATTTCTGCACAAAGCCTCCTGCCTGTCTGTAAACACCAGGGCAAAAACTCTCCACAAAACCACGCTGAGGCCAGCTCCACAGGCAAAGGACTGGTTGCCTTGTCCAGAAGGCAAAACTCCTTAGGGAGTTTTATTGGAAAGGCTGCACAGACTTTGTGCTACTGCTGGTCTGGCCCTGATCAGGCAAGCAAGTCCTGTAGCCAAGCCAAAAATCTGATGGCACGTTTCACACAACACTGAGCCACTGCAATCTCTAAGTCCTGACAGCAAAAGTCCTCCCATTTCACTGCAGCCTTGCACAGCCAAAAACTTGCAGAATTTGGCCCTCCCCTATCCACCCCAGATTTATTTGAGCTAATGTCACATTACCAGGAATTGAAACAAAATTTAGACTCTTGTGAGCAATACTCCAGTCATGTCGTTATAATAATGTTCCTCTCTGGAACATGCGAAATTTTGATGTACTCCAGGAAAACTGAAAGCAGGAAGGCAGCTTCAGTCTGCACTCATCCTCACACAGAGACTCTTATTCTGTCTCTAGAGCATCCTCTTCAGCCAACAGCCCCAAACATCCACAACCTGCCCTGGGTGGGTGCCCAAGAAAGGATCTGTGTGGCAGGACTGGTCACGGGGAGCTCAGCTGCACTCTGCACAGCAAAGGGGTGGGAGAGCTCCTCTCTAGAGCCAAAGGATCCAATGACTGCAGGGATTTGCAAGGCATGATTGCATTATACAGAACTATATTATTAACCTACTTACAACAGAGGTATCTTGATGGAATTTTTTCTTTACATTTTCTATTCTGAGAGTTTGAGGTTCATAATCAATTTTTTTTCTTTTCCACTCCCCTACACTTTATTAGCCTCTATAATTAAAAAAAGTGAACACCAACCCCCCCAAACCAGTCTTTGCCTTCATTTTCCTGTGTTTCCCTGAAGATTTTCTGAACACTCAAGCCTGCCTTGTGTCTCTAGTTAGAAGCATTGGGCTCACTGTAATACGACAGTGGATTTAGTTCCTAATGGGTCAGGTGGTTTAAGATTGATTATTTGTCACCTGGAAGCAAGGAGATGGAGCAACCTTGAAGTCACAAGTCAAACCATCTGTACCTAGATCCACATTACAGGAAACACAAAATACAGAACACATCCAAGGGAATCAGATGAAATCAAAAAGTTCAAATTTCCAATAACGTGTTAAATATGCCCCCAACTATTTTATGGTCGAACTTTGATTATAAATTGGCTAACTTTTGTTATCAGTAAGGAATTCTCATTTAGCACTTACCAGTTATGTGGAGAACAGATGCAGCCTCAGCTTTTCCAAGAGCATTGGTTGCTCTGCAGGTGTATGTTCCTGCATCTCGGGAGGAAACATTGCTCAGAAATAAAGAGCCATTCAAAACCAAGGAAGAATTTATTTGTAAAACATCCTTCTTCTTCAGCCATGTTACATTTGGTTTGGGAACACCTTTAAAATGAAAATAATTAAATGATTTATTGTGAGACATAACAGAAAGTTTGAGTTGCTAACTGCTACCATAGCATTCAAGAACCGTGAGCTCCTTTGTCATTTCACAGAGTGAGAAAACTCAGGTAACAATATTGCAATAAAACAAGCAGTTTTCACACTCACAAGAAAAATCTCAATTGTGAGCCCTATTAATAATTCATCATCCCACTAAAAATAAAGCTCAGGGGTTAAATTCTGCAAGTCCAGCTCAAAGACAGCTTTACAGACTGCTACCAGGCCTACAAAAGCAATGTGCTCACACATCTCACTCAAAGATGTGAAACCACTAAACCCAGCCAGGACCAGCTGATGGAAAGATCTGTACAGTACCTTCTCATTCAGCCTGCCTCCCACAAGGAAGGACGGACAGAAGAGAGGAAGGAAGATTAAAATTTTAATCAAAAATTAGGAAAAATTTGGGATAACATTATTTCTTTTGAAGAAAAAAAAATTAGAAAATACATGTGGCTAATTCATGCCAAAATAGTTGTGACAACTTCTCCAAGTTGCAGATGTGATCTGAACAGCTTGTAATGACAGAGGGTGAAGGAACAGAAAGAGTATTAATTTCATTAATAATGAAAAGAGGAGTTCTCCTGTTAAGCAATCTCAGTTACAGTGGTACAGAAGCTGAAGGTCTACCATCATTGCTGCTACAGTGCTTGAACTCTGAGAGCCTCAGCTCTTGCAGATAACTTGTAATTTTCAATTTTAATCAATAAATTATGTTGAATGCTTATTTTTAATGAAATTATTTTTCCACTGGCACACTACCAGTGGGAAGACTGTTTTATTTTCCTCAAATACTTGCCTTTAAAAAGAGATTTTGCAAGTTGGCAAATCAGACACCTCATTGATGTGTTCTGGTTGAGCTGCTGCAGCAGAAATGCTCTTTCCAAGTTCCAAAATCCTGGGGAAGCCACTAGGTAAGTTGGCACACGTGGCACACTGAGCAGCCACAGACGTGCACCAAAGTGTGGGGATGGGACAAGTCACAGATGGAAAAAATCTCTCACCTGAACCCTTTTTTCACTAAATAAATTGGTCAGTGCTCACTGAAGGCCCCTCAGCTGGGTTCGGCTGCAGGAGCTGACCCCAATGTGGGACATTTGGAAGCTGCAGCCATCCTGAATGCTAATTCAGGCTCCTCTCCTCACAGATCATTGTGCAGTATTACTTTACAGATGATGTCTTCATGATGTGGAATGGCCTTTAGGAACAACTTTAACATTTCAATCACTGGCTTAGCACTTCCAATGCACACCTCAAGTTTTTCCTTTGCTGTAATAGGAACCAGACATATTTTTTGGAACCTGCTATTTCACTGAAGGAAAAAGCTCCCCCCGCCATTTTGTCTAGAAAGGCAGTGGAGAGAAACACTCTGCCTGTAATCACAGATTTTATTCTAGACAATTTAGCAGCTGTTCTGTGCTTTTAAACTCATGTAGAACTGTGTTTTACTGAATAAAGCTGATTAAAACAAGATCTGCAGAGTGCACAGCAGTCCGAAAACCAAGTTGTTTTTCAAGTTTCTAGAAGAAGCTTTATGCCACTTTGAAAAAATCCATCTGCAATTAGGATGAGGTCTTGGTTTAAGGGTCTTTTTTCCATTTTACCGAGATTTCTGGCTAAAGTGTATAATTCTCAGACATTTTTCCTTTACAGTGTTATTTCCACAGCCATTCAGGCATATATACTCACTCTGCAGATGGGCTGAGGAGATGGTGTGAGGATCTGAGCTGTTTTACTCTCAGACCTAGAGGTTTGCAGCCAGACTGCCCTCACTGGCACCAAGGCCCAGCAGGCCAATCAGAGCCAAAAAGAAGCCGAGATGGGACTGGAGTAAAAAGGTTTAAAGGCAAATTCCACAAAACACAAAAACGTTTGGAATGGTTCAAATTTAAACTTTTAACCTGAGCCTCTATCAAACATCAGTGCAATATCACCTCATGATAGTCCTCCCTCTGCTCTCATGACAGCATTCAGGAGTGTAGCTCATTCCCAGGATTTAACTGAAGTCAAATATTTTTCTTCCAAACGCTTTATATCCTAGAGCTGTCCCAGAAAAATTGCCATGTCTCTATTCTTCTACGTGTGCCTCATTCAGAGACATGTAGAGCCTTTAAAAATGTGAACTGGAGTTCAGTGTGCAGAAGACATCTGCAGAATAGTTTTGCCACTCATTTTAACTTCAAAACTGGGTATCTGTCACACACCTTAAACTCAAGTTATAGCAAATGATTCCTCTTCCTTTCTCCAAAGAGCTCTATTTGTTTCTCTTTGGGGAAAACAAGTGAGTAATACCACACACACAAGTAAATCGGGCCATTACTCAAGTGAATAATGTGAGCACACAAACATAAATTGTAGGTCTGAGAAGAAGTGCAGACAGAGCCCTGCACCAGAGGCCAGCAGCCAGCCCGGCTGTCATGCACCAGGAATCCACCCAGGCCATCCTGGGGGTGCTGGCACTGGGAGATAGACAGTGGGAAGGGGAACCCATGAAAACAAGGGTTAAATAGAATGTGTGTGAGGGGCAACCCGTGGAAAACAAGCAGTTAAACAGAATGGGTGGGAGGGGGAATCCATGGGAAACAAGCAGTTAAACAGAATGTGTGTGAGGGGGAACCCATGGAAAACAAGGGTTAAATAGAATGTGTGTGAGGGGAAATCCATGGAACACAAGTGTTAAATAGAATGTGTGTGAGGGGGAACCCATGGAAAACAAGGGTTAAATAGAATGTGTGTGAGGGGGAATCCATGGAAAACAAGGGTTAAATAGAATGTGCGTGAGGGGAAATCCATGGAAAACAAGCAGTTAAATAGAATGTGTGTGAGGGGGAACCCATGGAACACAAGTGTTAAATATAATGCGTGTGAGGGGGAACCCATGGAAAACAAAGGTTAAATAGAATGTGTGTGAAGGGGAATCCATGGAAAACAAGGAGTTAAACAGATCACACTAAAAGTACCACCAGTGCTGTGCACACTGCTGTTTTCCAGCAGCTGATGTTACATGGACACCCTCAGGGTGCTCCCATTGAGGGGAGATATTTAAGCTCAAAACAGCAGTGGGAATAATCACAACACCCCTGCACTGTATGTCAGCCCAAACTATCAAGGAGTAAGATTTTTATCTAGGAGTTAATTATTGTTATGTGAACTGTGTGCTGAGCCCCTCTGAGCTGGCCTCTTCACAAGCATTTTGAGGACCCTTCAAGATTTTGCATTTCATGGTTCCATTTCTTTCCCCAGCCCTGTATTACATGGAAACCAATTCACTGTCTGAGAGTGAGACTGGGAAATACTGGACTGTGTGCTTAAGAGCAACTGGTATTTGTAATCAAGCTCCTTCTCTGACCTCTTCACTGGTTTTGGTTAAGCTGCCATTAACAGTATTAAGGCAAGTGCTCAGACTGAGTCCTAAGCTACAGGAAAAAAAAGAAAAAAAGATTGCTTTAGAGAATTCAGGGACCTATTACAGACTAGAGAAGAGCATGAAGAGAGGAGAAGAGAGGAGGATTCTGCAGCCAGGACACAGGTTAGATTTCTTTGCCAGAAATCTAACGAGGGCTTCTAACCCTGCCTTTCAGGGCAACCCAAAACTGTGATAAAATGCTTTCAGAGTTGGGAATCCAGAGAGACAAAGTAGAGAAACCACTCAGAAAAAAAAGCTGATACCTCCTAATAGACACCCTAGAAACAGATTAAAGAAACAAAGCTGGAGAAAAAGACATCCCTACAGTCCAGCTCCTTCACATTCTTGGGCAAAGCAGTGTAAGCATTTCAAGCCCTTCTGGACAGATTCACTTTATCTGTATGTTCCTTTGGCCAGTGAAAAATCCTTTTCTGCAGTACATCTCATGAGAGACAGAGTTCTTGTTTATATTTTCATTTCTGGAATTCCTATCAGGAGAAACTCCTACTGTTAGAGGACACTTAGGAAAACTAGCTTTAGGTGTGCATTTAGTTTTTTGCTTAGGAGTACCTTGCATAAAACTCCATCTCATAGCCCATCACAACCCCAGCATGAAGTCAGCTTTAGCACATTTCAGGTGCAAAATCTTCCATTGTGCAGATTTTCAGTGCTACTTCTTTAGAAACCAGATTTCATATTTACTGCTCCTGAGATAAGATTTCCCTTTCCTACTGGTATGCAGCTCTGTACACTGAGCTGGATCTCAGCTAGGAGCTCCTGGGAAAGAGCAGGCAAAGTACACAATTCCCACATTCCTCTTGTGACAAGGCTCTTCCACGCTCTGGTGTGAAAAACACCAATTTTCCTACACAGAAACTGCAGGACCAAGTTCAAGCATACCATCAAAACCAAGAAAAAGTTCAATTGTTTTTTCTAGGCAAGTAGTTAAGGCCTAAACCTTCTGTTTTATCCTTTAGAACTCGTGCAAATTAAAACCTATGAGTTTTAAGCAGTTTTCTCAATAAAGGAGAAATGAAACTAAGCAAAAATAAGCCAAAACCAAGTTGTTGCTATTTTCCCCCCTTCCCTTAAAGGGGCTGAAATTACTCTTAAGCTTTGGGCCATATTTGTAGGAATTCATAGAGGATTTTGTCCTGTGCACAAGGTTGAATTTTACTGCAGATGCTTGACTCTTGCTTACTTAAAGATTGATTTACACAGGGACGTTAAATAAACTAAAATAACTTCCATGCTGTCTTCAGGAGCATTTGTTCATTACAGAATTGCAGCAAAAACAGTCACAAACTGAATAATTCCTGGTTTGATCCACAGAGAGTAGGAAAAGGGGAAGGAGAAAGAGGCAAGAGATGGCCTGTAGCCACCTTTGTTTCCTTCCCACCCCATCTCCATGCAGATGCAGCTGAGGATGAGCCCAAAGGCTCAACTCCCCCAAACTGCCAAAGGCTCAGAATCCCCGAGCGCAGTAAAGATCCCAGGGGTTCTAATGGGAGATCTGTCACTGGATCCAGAGAGCAGCACA